TTTTCTGTTTTCTTTTCTTGGGATAACTTTAAACAGTGAACAAAAAAGCTTTGACAAATTAAGAGACAGACCATGGAGGAAAGGAAGAAGCTTTATAACTTTAATGATACTTTTGTTCCTTGCTTTTTGAACAAGAGATCTTGAATTCTCATTTTTCACTAGGCCTGTAAATTGTGTAACCAGTATCCCCATGTAATTCTGTTGTCTTTTCTGTAATTATCGCTGGTTTGCCGTGCAGAACTATGGGCTCTTGAATAAATGTGTTCTCAGGGAAGAAGAACCCTCTTCTGATGAACTAACTTCCTTTTCTGATGAAGAGCTTCATTTTTAAAGCATAAAATTATAGAAGCTAAATGATTTGAGATTTTCCCATTGCCTACCAAGGTCATGTAAATGTTTGAGTTATTATTTTTCCATGCCTCTGGGAAGTCCAAGACTAACACACTTTTGCATAAACATAAATGATATATTTGTCTGTGGGTTCCTCTTTCTGTGGCTCTTGAATTGACATCTGGGTGGGGGTTCTTTTTACCTCTTACCTCAAATTCATACTCAGCTTTGCAAATTTTATAAACTATGGCCTGCAAGACTATGGGATGGAGCTGCTGTGAAAGGAAGGGAAATGGTGTGTACAAGGACATCATGTAACGTGTGAGCTGGAAGCACAGTAGGATTGCACAGGTAAGCATCCTAACTTGGTTCAAGAGTAAGGGCAAGGAATTGTCAAAAATATAACAATTACAAAATATCAAATACATTAAAAAATAAGTGACTAGACTATAAAGTGACAGGCGGAGAGAAAGTGAAGAGAATACTGACACTTCTGGGAATTGTTTTGAGAGCAGATTTGGAACATAAGTTTTGGAAAATAAAATGCAACATTCAGAGAAACTGAGACAATATAAAGAGGACCTGAGACTGCGGCCAAGGAGGAGCTTTTGGATTACCTTGTCAGACTAGGCCTATTTGTTCCCCTGGTTGCCCAAGGCAAATTTCTGGTATCCTAGACTCCTTCCTCCTCCTTCACTCAGTCAAATACGTTCACTGAGATTCCTACAAAACAAGTGTTGTGCCCCTTCCCTTTAATACATCCATGGCTCTGCACCCCTTTATCTGTCCTAGGTGACAGTGACAGCACCTGTCACTTCTTGTCACCAAATAGTCTCTCCTACCTTAGTTACCTTTTACTCAGCCACAGAAGGGCCTAACTGAAAGGCAAATCTGTGTATCTTGTCGATGTAAGATTTTAGTGGTTCTTTGAGGTTACAAGACAAAGCTCTTGAATATAGCACCAAGGTTTACTGGGTTCTCACCGTTTCCAGACTGAAATGTGCCAGCTTCAGCTAAAAATGACTGTACGTTACTGTTGCTCCGTGTAGCTCCTGGAAGGCTGGGGAAAAAAGGGATGGTCCCAGTTGGCCACATTGCATGGAAGATGACTTCTCTGGATGAACCCAGACAGAATGGGAGAATACTTCTGCATTATGTGAATACTAAGCCAATGCTTTCTGGCACAGAAGTTCTTAACTAACAACACGATAATCTGCTCTGGGTGAATATTAGACAGTCTTTTCCTCACTTACTGTAGTGATTGCTCTAAAGGCTCACATATCAAGTGGGCAGGGGTAAGATGCAGAGGTTGTATGTATGGATTCAGTTATACAAGCATCTTCTCACTATGCCAACTCTGACCACTGCTAAGCATCCAACCTAAGTGTCCAACCTGGCTGAACCTGAGCCTTTCTGAGTGCTGGACTCCTGGAGGACAGTTTCATGTGTGTCAGCAGATTGTTTACCTGGGGCCCCTTTCATCATAGAAAGAGCAAGTATCCTTCTCATTGAAATGCATCATTCTTTCATTCAAAAATATGTATTATGCACTTATAATGTACCAGGCACAGTTCTAAGTACTTGGGCTATACTAGTAAACAAAGAGAAAAAATTGTTTTTATATCAACTCTCTACAATGAATGTAATCATTATGTATTATAAGCTTGTATTAATAAAAAATTTTAAGTCACATAAATCTAAAGATATATTTTTGTAAAAAGTGAAGTTGACAACTGATTCTTAGGTAACATACAACCTAACTTTTTTGGCAGAATTTCTCTGTGTAGCCTGAGTTGGCCTTGAACTCACAATCCTCCTGCCTCAGCTTCCTGCTAGCATTCAAATCTTATTGTCATATATTAAAAAGAAAAAATATTGGAGAAGCGAGTGTCCACCTCCTATTATCTAATATGCATCAGCTTTTATAATCTGACACCTCTGGAAAAGTATTAACTTTTCTAGGCAGGAAGTAATGTATATAACTTATTAACTGAGCATGAAGAAATAAAGAAAAATCTGATAGAAATGCCAAAGAAAGAAACTTTCTAAAGGAGTGCTATATAACAAACACTATATTTGCAAGCGATAAGTGCTAGGGACAAAAAAGTCAAGCAGGGGAATAGAAACTGGATGTGCTGAAATTGGAAGAAAGTAGTTTCTAAACATTCATGTGATGGGGGTAGATCACAAGCCTTTGATGGGTATCCAGGTGGAAAAGCTTCCTATGCAGAGGGAACAGCAAGGCAAAGGTCTCAGAGGGCCAGACGTGTACAAGAGGTCCCAAAGGTCTCAGAGGGTCAGATGTGTACAAGACACAGCAAGGAAGTCAGTGTCAGAACTCAGATGATGAGGACAGATGGTGAGTGAGGTTGGAGGGGCCATGGGAGGACAGCTGGGTGGAGCCTTGTGGAAACTTAAGGACTCTGGCTTTTACCATATGGGTATCTGAGTCACTTCAGGACTCCCAGCACTGTGACCACATGCTAAGAATGGGTTGAGGAAGGAAAGGGACAGAAAAGTGAGACAAACCACTACCATGAACAAAATGTGATGGCCCAGGCAAGGCAGAACCCTGGAAGTGACAAATGAGATGGCAGTCACTTGTGGAAATTTAAGATATACAGAAATAAAGAACAGTATAATTCCCCCTTCCTCCTCGCTTTAGAAATTGTGCTTACAGGACCAACGCTGTTTGAGCTACTGTATCTCCCTGCCCACTTCCCACCACTCTCCCTCATTGAATTATTTCAAGCCAAACTGATCATTTTAATATATGATTTAAAGCACACTTAATCCACTTTAACTCTTTCAGTCAACTACTGCAGTACAAGCTCTAAAAATGAGTGTTTTTTGTTTTTATGGAAGTCATAACCATAACAGAATCATTAATACTGAAAACACAGTAAGTTTTTAAAATTAGTATTCAAATTTCCCTGACCTGGAACTTGTTAGAGTCCAAAATCATGATCCTTAAAATCACAATCCTCTTGTCTTAGCCTTCCAAGTGCTAGGATTACTCTAGGTGTGAATCACTATTCCCAGCTTTCCCTTAGTATTTTTTTCTTAACTGTATTTGTTTAAGTCAGGTTCCAAACAATGTCTGCCATTCTTTTTGGTGGATATATCTCAAGACTCATTTAATTTACTCCTTCTCTCTTTTATCTGTTTGCTCCTATTCTTAAATTTTCTTCTCTTTATCCTCCTCCTCCTTCTTTTCTTCTTCCATTTCCTGTCTGTGTGTCGGTCTTTCCCTCCTTCTCCTCCCCTTCCTTCCTCCATTCCTCTCCCTTCTTTCTTCCCCATTAACTTGAAAAAAACCAGATCCTTTCACTGGTTCATTTGGCCTACAGAACTTTCCCATAGCTTACATTTTGCTGATTGCAATCTCATGATGCTCTTTTAACTTGTTCCTTTGTCCCCTGTATTCCCTATAAAGTGGTACTTAGATCAAAAACTTGATGGATTCAGCTTTGATATTTAGTGCATGGGTACTCTGTAGGTGGTTCTGCATGGCATACCTCCATCAGATGCATATAATGTTTGGTAGTCTGTGTTTTGATGTTAAGCAGTAGGTATAACATTAAACATCTATAAAAATACAGTTTCCTATTTTTTCACCATTTTTTGATTTATTAAAAGAATCATTCTTACATCAACTCTTTGGTAACTCAAACAGCTCTTACAAGAAAAGCAGCTCTATTTTCTTTGAACAGGAAATGGTATTTAGACACAAAACCACCAAGTAGTACCACCATCTCTGTTGGCGTGGTAATTATTTCTAGACCTTGTCAGTGAACAAAGCTAGAAATGTATTTTTTTAAAGAGAAGGGTTTATCATGAATTTATACTGACATTTAGGCTTGCAGAGCCACTTTTTAATTTTACATTTATGTCTCTTTTCTTTAATGTTAAAAGTTTTTGTCCAAATGATGTTAATACAATTACTTTTTCCTTTGGAAATCTCAGTCTAGAATTTGCTTCTCTAGCTTTCTTGATGATTTTATAAATCATTTAATAATTTTTCTAAAATTCATTTTTTTGTACATAATTGTGAATCCTTGTTTTATCAGTAACTGAATTCTGAGAATTACACTGTGTAGACAGATGGGAGAACTGTGTACTCTGCCACCCCTATGCAAACATTCAATTATACCAGTTGGTATACATGTAACTGATTCTCCAGTGAGAGACATAGCAATATTTTAAACAGAGATCCAGGGCTGGAGATATAGTTCAGTGGCACAAATGCCTGCCTGACAAGCGCAAGGTCCTGAGTTTGATTCCTGGTACCAAAAACAAAACAAAACAAAATCAAACAAACAAACAAAAAACAGAGATCTGGGCTTCCTGGTGTCTTGGTCACTTTTCTCTCGTTGCTGAGACAAAATACCCAACGCCCAAAATTAAGGAAAGGTTTATTTAGCTTACAGTTTGTGGAGGTTTCAGTCCCTACTTGACTGGCTCCGAGGCAGAAGACAGCAAAGCAACAAGAGCAAAGGGGGGAATGGCAGCCGAACAGCAATGCAGCCAGAGCAAAAGGGAGGAATGGCGGCAAGCAGCTTCTTTCTCTGCCTTACTTTGTAAACAGGCTACCCCCACCTAAGGGGCGTGTAGCTCTCACATAATCTTTGCCCTCCTCTTTCACAGGCTTAGGATGTATACAAAGTAAGTATCCTGGCTTCCTGCTGAGTCACTTAGCCAAACCTCTAGACTCCCCAAGTTGACACAATGTATCAACCATAACACCCGGTCTTTTCTATCTCTGTGAGAATCCCAATTCACTAGCATTTAGAATTCCATTTTTCAAAAACTGTCCTTCTCTCTCCTTATTGTCTTTCCCTAAATCAGACTCCGGGGAGCACACTAGGTCCTTTCAAGAACAGGCATACAGAGTCTTCTCCCAACTGTCCTGGATCTGGGACATGTTAGCAAGGCATTTCAGAGGCAACTCCATCGTCACTTCAGAGTAGATGAATTCAAGTTGATGACTGTAATCCCACGATGGGCCTGCGGCTTTGGATAGAGTCAAGTCACAAGAATACCGCACTTTAATAGCAATCTATGGCATCTGCATCGTTGAGGCTGAAATTTCTGGCTTTTCTGAGAGCCATGTCTTCACCTCAGAGTAGGCAAATGAGCCGTGCTGCAATGGGAAAATATAGAAGAAGAACTGGAGAAAGAGAGGGAGTGCAAGACTATAGGAAATAGAAAACCTTGGGGAGTAAAACTTACCCTCTCCTCTAGAGGTGTCCTGGTGGTACTGGCTGTGGAAGGAAAGGAAACCACTGAACCATGGGCATAAGGATTCACTTAGAATCCAGTGTGCCTGATTATTTTCCAGAATCCAGGGTCCATGAGCTTTCTTCATTGTCATGTTTTCTCCACCCTAACCCAACATATCCTACAACATGTTTCATTTTGTTTTACCATCTCTTAACTTGTCCCTCTGTAAGCTCTTCTCAAGCTCCATTGATCTGTAAAGTCCTCTCTCAATACCATAGTACAAAATTTCACTTCTTCTACTAGATGTTGAAATATTACTTCCCTTTTAATTTAGTTCTTACTTCTCTTAATTACAGTACACCCATGTCATCACCCTTGAGTTTGGGAAGTTCCCACAAAACTCTCCATATATATGCCATGTGATGAAAACTCTCTGTTCTGTTAGCAAGTACTAGTTCTTCTTTGCTACAGTTTCTTAGAGGTGGAGCCACAGAGAAAGGAAAATTCAGCAGATATGATTTGTTGCATATTAGAAATTAAGATCCTCAGAAAAAAGATAGAATCATTAGAGCAACATAGTAATTTTATAGAGAGGTAACACCTGAACAGAAGATACATCTCAGAGCACCTGAGGTTACCACAGTTTTCTTACTATGTACATTTTGGGAGTAAAGATATTTTCAATTATTGATGAAAGCTATTGTTGTGGCTTGTGTTTAGATGCCTCCTCAAATCTTCATGTGGTCATGGGTGGGGATTTTTTCAGAGGTGGCTGGATCTAAAGTGTGTGATGCCACAATTGATTCATGGTACAATGCTAGGTTCAAGAGCATTAGGATTAAGGGTATGAATGCTACCCACCCTAAGTAGTTTGGATAAAATAAAAGAGAAAGAAAGACTTTGTTAAGGTCCCTTGTTGCTTTTGCTGTATTCTGCATGCAATGAACCATTTTCTCTTCTGCAGTGTGTCTCTGCCATGTGCCACCTTGCCTTGGAGCCAGCCAGTTGTGGACTGAAACTTCAACAGCAACAGCAAGCTAAATAAACCTTTTCCTCTTTAACTTTAGGAGCTGGGTAGTTTACCTCAGCAACGAGAAAACTAAGACAGCTATGTATTCTGTCTTCAGAATAATGGTTCATATGAAGGAAATGTTGCTTATGGTTTCATGACCATTATGCAAACCTAGAAGAATAGGTGAAGTGTCTGAAATGTAAGTATTCCGTCAGCAGAATTGGTGTTTTGCAAATAAGTCAAGGACAGAGTATAACAGGAAAATCATCAAAGTAGCTCAATAAGATAAGATGCACTCAATCAACCCTGGCAAGCTAGAGACAGTTCTCATTTGCTATTTAGAGGGTCTTGATTAATGGAAGTGGCTCAGAAATCAAACCAATGGACAAAGCAAGGGATCAAGTGATACGTATTGGTCAGATGTAGGAATAGTCTGAAAGCAACAAATACTCTTACAGTACAGAAATCTTGGTCTTATCTCTGTCTCTCACTGGTTTTGGATACTTAGAAAATGTTTAGCTTCTCTGAGCCTTACATATTTCATTGGTAAAACTGTTCAGCATTAGGTTATAAGTGAAATCCCCACTGGGCACGAAGACACTAGGTGAGGTATCATATTTATATTCATAAATAAAAACAGCTGTTGACCCCAGAGCCTCGGTTAGTCAGCCAAATCAAGGAAGTATGGAGGAATGGGAGAAAAAAATATTTGTTGAAGGCGGTTTTGCAGAAAAAGAGATCATTTTCTGTTCAATGAGTTTCCAGTCAGATACTCTGGAGAGAGAGAGGGAGAGAGAGGTGGGGGGAGTAAATAGATGAGTGTGAGGTGGAGTGGGAAGCTACTTTACAACCTTGTATCTGGTGAGGGAGCCTTTCAAGGTTCTTCTTAAAAACTGAAGTGATTTCCCCGATATTGAAAAAAAAATTGATTTCCATCCAAGAAAACCAAAGTGGACAAGAGCATATATTTACTCACAAGAGTGTCTAAAAGCAGATCTCCATTCTTTAGTACATTTTGAAATGGCTCTAGATAAGATTGAAGAAAAATGAAGTAGGACTGCTCATTCTGACCAAGATGAAGTACCAGGGATTGAATTTACCTTTTCATTTTAAGCACTCAGAAAGAAAAGGATAAAAAATGGTCTTCAGGCATTGGACAGTGCAATGCCATTAGAGAAAGCAAGTAGAGAGCAGAATTCCCTGTTGCACCAGCTCATTCTTTGGAGGCAGTTTTCAAGCTATAGCTAAGCCATTAGAATTCACAGAACAGAGTACCAGAGAGACAGCAGCAATTTGTACTGAAAGTTACAGAGCTCTCCAGAAAGTTCCAGAGATCTCCCCCTTCACACTCATCCATTCTCTCTCTCTCTCTCTCTCTCTCTCTCTCTCTCTCTCTCTCTCTCTCTCTCTCCAGAGCATGGAGATCTCTAGAGAAAGATCCAGAAAGGCATGTATCCTCAAGTCTTTGGCTGAATACCGATAGGCCTATAGGCAAAGGAAAACTACCTTAGGCAGGTAAAAACTGTAAGAAAGGACATAGAAGAATAATACTTGAAGCTCAGGCAGATTCTGTAATACATGTGGCACCTAATACAGAATCTTCAGAAACACATTGCTTTAATGTTAGGGCTAAATGTGCCCTAAATATTGTTTGAAACCTGCCACATCAAAACTTAACGGAAAGCTTTGAAAGGGCCCACCTCATACCAAGCAACCTGATTCAGAACAAAATTCCAAATCCAACAATAACTAAGGAATACTATAATATAATGTTCAAATATTCTAACACCCAGTAAAAACTGTATATACATGCACACACATACACACAAGCTCACATACACACACAGTTCCCAACTTACAATGGTTTGGCTTTATTATGGTGCAAAACCCATACTTATTCAGTAGAAACCTTTCAAATGTGAACTTTGAACACTTCCTGGATTAATGATATGTGATGTGACACTCTTTTGATGCTGGGAAGGGACAGCGAGCCATAGCTTCCAGTCAGCCATGAAATCATGAAAGTAGACAATGGATGGGTAATCTTTTTTTTTTGTATTTTTTGAGAAAGGGTCTCACTATGCAGTTCAGGCTGGCCTTGAGCACACTTGATAGCCCAGGCTGGTGTTGAACTCGCAGCGATTCTCCTGCTTCAGCCTCCTGAGTGCTGGGATTACAGGCATGCATCACTACACCCAGCTGGATGAATAATCTACAGTGTACTTAGAATGATTCTAAGCTATGATGTTTGAGAAGTTAGATGTATTAATGTATTCAACATTATTAGGACACAACCCCATTATAAATGGAGAAGCTTTTGTATTTGATGTTATATATAAATATTCTCAACACAATGCCTACTGTAGTAGGTATTTTGCAAACATACATTCATTCAGATCTAAAAGCAACCTTATTTTATACACCAACCAGGTCACAAACTCTATCAGAAAGATGCTTAATTTTTGTTCAGATCACCAATAAATATATATTATATATTTTTCACATCTAGCTTTTCTCTTTAAAATCTAAGCTCTATGCTCTGGGGGTTTTTGTCTGCTTGCTCTTTGATTAACTCTCCATACTCATAATAATACCTAGTATATCATAAGTGCTCCAAAAACATTTGCCGAATGAATGAATGAATGGAGTTTGCAGCTAAAATCTCTTCCCAGAAACATACCTTCTCTTTCTCCCAGCTGAGCACTTTGGACCTCAGCATATACCAAGTTTCCTTCATTGGGGTGCACTGAAAAGAAAAGACAATATTTCTAGGCTGTCCAGGCCAGTGATATGTGCTGCAAATACCTCTTCCCAAGCATCCCCTCCATAGTTCTTGGACACCCGAAGAAGTGGTTATTTATTGGGAATATCTGAGTTCCGAATCCTGTAGGATGATGACCAGGAGCAATTCCTAGGGCACAAACCACATTTTTCCCCCTATGGCTGAGGCTGGGAAGAGTTCTTACAAGAGAATCCTCACCATTGCAGTATAAGTTCATGAGTTCCTCCTGGGCAGGGCAGATGGAATTGAAGGAGGGTCCTGGGTCTGGAGTGGGAAGGCTCCTGTGAGACACAGAGACACATGATAATCCCTGCAGCACTGTAACACGGAGGCCTGAGATGGTTAGGGAGGGAAGCTGTGAAGAAAGGGGGTTTCTGGAGAAGTGAGCAGTCGGTAGGAAGCTAGAAGCCCAGTAAGGTTTAGCTGGAACCTCAATAGGTCTATATATATAGAGTCAAATTGCTCTTTTAAAAGAGACTAGGAGCAGTGGTATAAGCAGCTGTCTGGGAACAAGGCCAGAGAGTCTTTGACATCATCCAATCCTCTCATAGACAGAATGGTTTAAGAAAAACCTCATCATCAAGAAGTGGTGGCTAAATCTCTTACATTATCATGCCTGGACAAATCAGGAAGGAATTATATATGATCCATGGTCCAACTGGTATCTATAACCTAAGCCTGACACCCTGGCATACACAGAAGAGGACCATGTTTTTCAAATGGAAGTTAAAAACACAAAGTCCAATTAATATGTGTGTATATTTGGGGCAAAAATAAGATTACTAGAAACTTACAATTCCCTAAAACATCTAGAACACTTGTAGAAAATCTAGACTCTAGTCTCTGTACATATATAACACTTTGTCTAACTATAGGACTATTTGCATCAGAAATATTCTGGGCCACCCCAAGAAAATCCGTAACCTCTGATATCATTCATTTAGACGAATGGTTTAATTTCAAATAAGAAGCCAATCTAAATGCATACAAATTTTATAATACTAATAGCTGACAAGAATGGTTCTAGGAAGCTTCAATTTTGACTAATTCAAGGAACATGAAAATGGACCATCTACCCACAGAATAAAAGAGAAATAACTTGAACTAATTTTGTGACCCTAAAGTTTTGCATATCTGTAGTTGGGAAACTTAATTCTCTCTCCCTTCCTTTCTCTCTCTCTCTCTCTCGCTCTCTCTCTCTCTCTCTCTCTCTCTCTTTCAAAAGCTGATGTCTCACCTGAGTTCCACATCCGGGGAACTGTCTCCTGCAAGATAAAGCAAAGGTGTATTCTGGTCAGCAGAGGGAGTCTTTGTCAAAGACTACATCTATGAACTCCTTGAAGAAGGGTCCAGAAAGTCCATGCAACCATAGGCCCCAAAACAAAACAACAGAAAAACCATAAAAAAGGTACAGAATTTCAAAACAAGATGATAGGAAATAAATAATAGTTGTTGTGCTACATATTGGTAAAGAAAAAGAAAAGACAAAAAACCAAAAACAAGCATAGGCCCAAACTTGATTCTAATAAAAAAATTGTGAAAAAGGATTGAACAAAACACATAACTTGCTTGGGTCAGTGATACACATTTCTGGATTAATTATCCAATTACTTGAGACTATAAGAGCTCAAGGCTCTGTTGATACATCTCAGGAAACACTAAATATAACCAAATTATCACTCTTCTGCAGTAGTGAGCTGTGGGTAGACTTCAAGGAGCACTTATGGTCAGGCCCAGAGGAATCTCAGTTCGAATTCAGGCTCACTAGAGCTCATTGTTAGTCCAATGTTTCCTTTCTCTCCCCAACACAGGGTGCACAAAAGTGCTCCTAATTTCTGGAGAACTGAACTGATTTAAATTAAGAGACAGAGCTGAAGGATGTATGTAATATTGTACAGCTGAAGAAGATTCTGCAACTCTTCTTCCATGCCAGACTTTCTGGCATTTGAATCTAGCTTGACCTGGACATGACAAGAATTCTTTGGAAGTCTATGGTACTGCACCTGGAAGAGGCTTTTCCCCCTGGGAAGGGGCGGCTCACCAGTGATCAGTGACCTTTGGATAAGGGGTTCCTGGGACAGGTTCAAACCTTGATCCAGGGAAGTCAAGCTTCCTAGTCAGCTCCTATTTTTAGTCTTTCTTCAGAGCCCTTGATTTTGTTTTTAATGTCCATTTATGATAGTTTTAGGATAGGCTGAGGTATCTATCTGGGTGGTTTGTATGAACCAAACTGCTTAGTAAACTGTTTAAAGTGTTTGAAATTTTACATTAAAAAATTCACTTTTACTCCACACTTAATACACCACACTTGGTCTGTTCAGAAAACAGTCTTTAAAAGGAACATGAGTGACTGTACGTGTTGGGGGTGATGAGGTAAGCAGTGGTAGTGTGTGTTACTAAGGCTACCCATACACTGAGGTGACAGAGATAAGGATAGAACAAGGATCTTAGAAAAAGTAACAGGAGAACACAAACCTGATTTCCTGTGCCACCGCCAGTAAAACAGGAAGGTCCCAGCCAGGAGAAGAGCGCTGAGCAACCCCCCAGTGGCTCCCGCAGCAGTGAGGCCCTGTCTGTTTCCTGGAGTCACTGGGAGGAAAGAGCCTATGTAAGTATCAGCAGGAGAGGCACAGGATGTGGGACTGCCCACCCACAGCTTGGCTAGCTTCCCAACTTTTGGGGCAGAGGAGAACCTAAGGAACTAGGCAGGACTCATGAAGGTATGGCCAGAAAATCTCACAGTGGTAAGCCAGTGTGGAGTGACACAGGAAATATCTATCTTTCTCTACCTTCAATGAATCATTTTATTTTATTTATTTATTTATTTTTTTTTTGGTGCTGGGAATCAAACTCAGGACCTTCTGCTTGCCAGGCAGACGTTTATGCCACTGAGCTATATCCCCAGCCCCCGAATGAATCATTTTAGAAATTGGCAATTTGGGGAAAGGAAGGATCCGTCTCTCTCTCTCTCTCTCTCTCTCTCTCTCTCTCTCTCTCTCTCTCTCTCTCTGTGTGTGTGTGTGTGTGTGTATTTATATAAATTTATGTACATATTTATGTATATCCAGTATTCTCATAGTTTGGTTACTGGGGAATCTCTCCCAGGGAAAGATATGTGATTAGGGCACCAACCGAACTAACAAAATTCTGAGATTGCTCTCCACTTAAAAAAATTTGTTATCCATAAAGCTAAGTGAAATAAATCAGGCACAGAAAGTTAAATATTGCATAGTTTCTCTTATATGAGAGACTCAAAGTATAAATAATTTAAAGAGCAAAATAAAAGATAGATAATAGGCAACAGGAAAATAGATTTTGTGGCACTGGGAAGAAGATCTGCAGATGGGGGGAGCTGGGAGAGTGGGGAGGGGAATGGGAAATAAAAAGGACAAAGATGCAATATGTATACAGAAGAACTCCCCACAATAAATATTTATTATGTATTGCAAGCCTTTACCAATAGATTTTTTAAAGTTCTACATAATATTTCAAAAGAAAAAGAAAAAACAAACAAACCCTGCTGTAAGGTCACTAGTTCCCCCTGAAACATATATTGGGATGCCAGAGAGAATGGCCACAGTCTCTATCCTCACAGAAACCTGCACTGTGGTTCTCTGAAAGATAGAAGAGAAAAAAACTAATGGAAGAATATACATAATAAAGCAAATATTTGGAAGTTTCTAATTTTTCTTTATGGTTCACTCTTCCATGCTGTCGTTTATAGCAAGAGAAATTTCATTGAATTCATCCATTCATCTAACAAAGATTTACTGGTGCCTGGTGTACACCAGGTACACAGCTAAGCCTTGAAGGTGTAGTAGTGAATGTGATGCTAAAGTCCCTCCTTTCATGGAGCTTCTGCTCTAGAGAGGAGACAGAGGACAAACAAAAACGTTTATAATCTGTGCCTTTGTGATAAGGGCTAGAAGGCTGGAGCAGGATGAAGGGATGCAAAGTGGGGTGATAGTGTTTCTCATGCAGGTTTCCTGTCTGCACATGAACCAAATGCAGACTGCAGATACCAATACCTCAAATTAGACAAAAGACATCTGATATTTGGACAACAGCAATACTAATGATAATTTCCATTTATCTTCATCTATGACTCCTGGTACAGAGTAGCCACCAGCCAGCTAATGACATTTTTGTCTCGACCCTGCCTTTCCTGGCAAAACCCATAAAGCTGCCATTTGACATATGAGTGGTTCCACCTACAGGGTTCAGGAGTAACCAGTACAACCTCTCCAACATGACAGCTGAAGGAGGGGGATGGAGACCTAGAAGAATCCAGAAACAGAGAGGCTTGGCTCCTGTGTTCTGCATTGCATCTTTCCCCACTGCCCGCTTGAGCATCTAGCTGTGAAAAATCACGATCAGCCATAGACGGACCAGGGATTTGAAATTCAGTAGTCGAAAAGCAAGTCATTGGGTAACCCAATTGGGTAACCCAATTTCTTAGAAGAAATAGCCACTCTAGGAAAAGTCATTGTAATATTTTTTCAAAAGGCACAGTCTTCTAAAACTGGATTCTGCATTTAGAATCACAGGTTTTCTATGTACTAACTGTGTATAGGGAAAATTGTTTAGGCTTTTTGTGCCTCAGTTTTGTCATTTGTAAAACTAGGATAATACTAGCTATTTACTATTGGTTGTAGATTAAGGACGTTATATATTATGTGAGTTGTGTAGGGCCTGGTGCATACATTTCCTATCTATGTAAGTATTAGGTTTGCATTATGGTCTAGGCTTTCAGGAGCTTCATGCTGTTTTTTGGTCAGTTTAGGAGACAGCCCCACAGGTTAAGTGTGTTCCCACACAGAACCACGCTAGCTAACCTCTGCTTGTGCAATAGGCTGAACTGTCCTCTCAAAAATGCACATGTTGAAGCTCTAGACTTAATGTAATGGTATTTAGAAATGGGTCATTGGGTGTTAATTATAGTCAAATGCAGTCATAGGGGTGTGGTTCTTCACAGTAGGATTGGGACTCTCCTTAAAATGAACACAGAAAAACTTGCTCTTGTCCTCTTTTTCTGTCACATAAGAATAGAGCAAGAAGGCAAGTGGCCTTCTACAGACCAAAAACAGTCCTCAGCAGAACAAACAGTATTGGCACTCTGATCCCAAACCTTCAAATCTGTGAGAAAATAAATTTCTATTACCTAGAACAACCAATTCATGATGTTTTGTTTCAGCAGCTTGAGTTGACAAAGCCTGACCACCTTAGCCCAGTGTTTGAGGCTCCTGCAGATATATTCTGCGCTTATAAATTTTCCCATTTACAGGCACAGAGATTTTGCACAAATTGAGCAGACATAAAGGGTTTAGAAGAAGATCCCTCCCTACTAAATATCCAGCAATCTTTGACATCTGTGTAAGTTTCTGAAATCATGTTTCCATGCTTTGCAGGACTGCTGTGAGAGTAAAACAGTAAAATGAAATCACACGTGTGAAGTGACCAGAGCTGCCTGGGCCAGACAATACATTCCACAGTCCCTTAAAGCAAGATGAGTATTTGACACTTAATTGGGGATTACCAACAGATTCACTATTACCCTCCTTGAGATTATAACGTCCGTTCTCCTTGAGGTAAACAGTTTCACTGTAAGAACCTTCCTGGAGAAGCAGTAACCCCTACCTTCAGAGTCACTCTACATTTCAGGGCATCTAGGTGTCTTCAGCAGCAGCCTTCAAGCCTTCCTAATCCCTCTTTCCTTCCCCCAAGCTGTCTTAAAAGCTATAGGCTCAGTCTCAGTCCTTCTTTGCTTAGAATTACGTCCCATGTATCATTTCCCCAAGATGTTCCAAAGCTGAGATGCAGACCCTTTTGTGGCACCTGGTTCTGGGAAAATGTCTCAATTCTCTAACATGGGAGGGCCCTGTCTTAGCACAGAACTTGCTTGGAGGGAGTTGAAGGGAAAATGGAGCAGCATCTGGGCTGCTAGCACAGCAGTCCTTTCCTAGAGCCTGTTAGAACCATTCAGGTTCATGGCTCCGAGTCAGTGCTGACTGCTTATTTAGCATGATTGAGGGTAGTACTCAACAGTGTGTCATTTATTTAGAGACCTATGACATTGCTGTCTGTCTCTCTGAGCTAAAAGATTACATCATGGCTCAAATCTGAGCTGCCATGGGTAAACCCCTGGGATGTGTGAAAATAACCAAAATTTTTAGCACTTCACTTTTCTTTAAAATGGAGATAGTATCTTTATTTTCTAGGATTGTTACAATAATCAACAGAGATGGTGTATGCAAAATTCATTCTTCCAACAAATGGTTATTGAAGCCTAAACTGTGCAAGCACTTGGGATATAACAGTGATCAAAATAAGGGTCATTTGGCTAATATAAGAGGAGGAAGAGAAGACAGCAAGCAAACAGGGGTGCATATAGTATGGGGTAAAAAGCTGCTATGTAATAGAGCATGGTTGGGGAAAGATTCACAGGAAAGGTGAAAAGTCAAAACTATAGGAGGACAGTGAGATATAGTGAGATTCTGACTACTTGGGAAGCAGAGCCTTCAGAACTTGCAGGTGGAGTACACAGAGGATGAGAAAGAAAAAAGGAATCAAGAATTGTGCCCAGATTTCTTATCTAAGTGCCTAAGTGAAAGAGCTTTACATGGACCAAAAGCAGGTGTCTGTTTAGGATGAAACTCAAGACTTTGGCTTCAGATTAGTTAAATCTGAGATTCTAGAATTGTGGAATACTTGGTTAAGTTCTTGAGCATATGGGCCTTGAGTTCAGTATACAGTTAGAGGTTGTAGAATGAGTTTGGGAGTCATAAGTAGATAGAAGTTATAAGTGCTTTTAAAGTAATAAGACTGGGTGTAATGACCTAAAGACTTGTCCTATATCTGAAGATAGGGCCTCCCAAATTTAAAGGATGAAAGTATGAAGAGGATCCAGAAAAGAAGGCTAAAATGAGTGTCTGGTAAGTAGGTAGAGTGCCAATAGAAAGCTCTGTCCCCAAGTCAATAGGAACAGTGGTTCAAGAAGGAGCGATCCATTGTGTTAAAAACTGGAGGGAGGTCAATTAAATTGAAACTAAGCATTGCCCATAGCTTTAGCAACAGCAGGGTCATTGATGATCTTCATGAGAATAAGACAGAGGGAGGCAACCTGGATGGTCTTGGGTTGAAGAGGAAATGGGAAAAGTAAAGACAATGAGTAGGGATAACTCTTTCAAGGGGCTTTGTTATAAAGGAAAGCAAGGAAATCTAGCTAACCAGTAGCTTCTTAGTGAAAATCTACTGTCATGGCCAGAAATGCAACTGAAACTGCAATGGACGAGGCTTTGAAGATCAGTAGAAAACAGTTCCTTACTGCCAAAGTTGACTGAGAAACTGGCTTAGCCTGGATGGCCTCTCAGGGAGAGAGGAAATAAAAGATGTGAGACGAAACTGTAAGATCTTACAAGATTTGTCTTCTCAGTAGACCAAGCTCAGCTCTGTATCTAATCTCTATGCTTGTAGGTTTCCTGCAGGTGATTGGGTAGCTGAGAATTCCTCAGGCTTATAGTAATGAAACTGCCTTCTGCCTTTGGTTCTGTCCCTCTTGAGAACATTGATCTGATGTGTTGTGGATGATTTACTGAAAGGACAGATTCAGTTGACAAGTGACAGAATTGTGCCTCACCCTAAAATGCTGTTAGTGAGGTAAGGCTGCTCTCTGAGATTAACACACACTGGATCAGAGAAGAGACACAAAGTCACCTCCAAGAGGGAAAATGGTTCCTGGCCAGCATTACCTCACTGTAATACTACATTGCTTTGACTTGATTGAGTTATTAATTTTCTTTTTTTTTTGAGTTATTAATTTTCTAATGGAAGAAATTGTCTATCACAAGGGAAGATGATAAAATGGAAACAAAGGTGAGTTACAAAGCTACTGTTGACTACACCCTCTCCTCATTTGAGGAAGTATGCTAAGAACAGACAAGGTTGATGGCGATTAGAACTCACTTCTCACAGTGATGTTCACTGGCTCGCTGTAGACAGGGCCATAGCTGTTGTCAGCCATGCAGTAGTACACCCCAGCATGCATCTCCCAGATGACATGTATCTCCAGCTCTGCTCTTTGGGAGCGCTGAGTCTTCTGCCCCAGACTCTCATTTGTGTCTTCCCTGTGCCAGGAGAATTTGATGTCCCCAGTGCCTTCAGCCACAGAGCAGACAAGGATCAGCATCGCCCCCTCAGTGACCTGGCCTGGGGGATGGGTGGCCATGGAGACTTCAGAGACAGGGATTCCTACATGAACAGGAAACAGCAGCTAAGTGCCAGGTGGAAGAGGCAAGAGAGAGTATTGGACTGAATGATTTTTTATGTCACTTAAAGATATACTCTTCAGCAGATAGAAGCATGTGACCAATGGACTGTGGATTGTAGACCTAGCATGTCATTGTGTCAAGCTTTCTGTCCTGATACACAGTGGCCCAAGAGAGAAAAATGGACTATCCCTGAGAAGTATGTGGTTTTTATCTGACTCAACAGGTGGTAATAGCCATAGTGGATGTTATGGCACCAAGACTGTCCACACATGTTTTCAGAAGTCCTGCTTTGGTACCCAAGGCAAATTGGTATTTATTGTATTTGTCCTTATATGGATATATCTCCAGAGAAAAAGAGATGTCTATGATGGCAGATATATTTCCTTTTCTGTTGTATATATTGCTAGCACTCACATTGTTTGCTGCTATTAATTAGGAAGAGGCAGGTGCTTGTTGTTCTAAATAACTTACACCAAGCTCCTGCATTCTAAAACCTGCATGCTAAGTAGCAGGGAACATTTTTTTCCCTAGCTCTTGCATCTCACTCCACAAATCAATGCTACCACTGTAACATGGCAATGTGTGGAGGGAAGACCATGTTTCTAAGAAACTAGAAGTGGAATGAAATTCTTTATTCCTTTTATTAAAGTACCTTGCTTCTTAGTCTATGAAAAGTGATTGAAGGAGATGGTAAATGTTTGAATTTAAAAATTTTTTTTTTTTTTGGTTTTTCTCCGGTACCGGGAACTGAACTCACGACCTTGCGCGTGCCAGGCAGGCGCTTTTGCCGCTGAGCTAAATCCCCAGCCCCTGAATTTTAAAAATCTTATTACAGTAAAGAACACATTGCAAAGAACCATGCGGTATGATCAAAGCCAAGGGAAGTGTTTTGATTATTTTGAAAGAGAGTAATTATGTGTCTTTTAATAAAGTTTTTAATTTAAACATTTACTTTATTCTATGATCATACCATATTGATCAAATACTTATTGTTGTAACCTGACCAAAGCGCCGCCATCCTGTTCTGTATGCGCCGTTTTCCCTCACCCTCCAGTCACCCATTGTACCCTCAAAACCCCCTACTAAAAATCCTCTGCTGGATCAGAGAGAGAGGATCAGAGAGAGAGGCAATGCAAAACCACAAGAGCCAACTTGTTAACTTGATGTTCTTGTAAAAAGCATCGGTTCTAAAAATTATAACCACCAAAACTACCTAGCACTCTACAAAGATAAGATCTGGGTATTAAATGCCCCTCTTTTGTGGTTTTCCACTTTATAAGCTCCTTGATGCTTCTCCTCAGCGCGCAGCTTGCAGAGCCCATCTGTACTCTGTGCCACTGGGTACCAGCTTAAATAAAGCGCTACTTTTTACAAAAAGACGTCTCACTCTTTTGGGGGATCCTTTTCCTCGGTAGAGCACTTATGGCAGTTTCTATCAAATGAAAACACTGTAGTGCGTTGTCATCTACTTTCTTCACTGGATCTTTCACCATGTCACTTCTGGCTCTTCCACAAAGTCAAAGTGATCATGATAGGTAAATATTTTTAATTGGTTCAGGACACTCAGTCAGCTACAACAGCCCAACTGAAGACACAAAAGAGGACTTCCAGAACTGTTTCAGAAAGTGGCAAGACTAATGGGATAAGTGTATTTGAATTGAGAGAAAGTATGTTGAGAGTGATTAATGGCAAAGTGTCTTCTACTACAACTTTTTTAAAAATTTAAACATCTGCTATATTTTTATCACACCTCATAAGTTGGTGCCTCTATTGGAACAACAGAACCCATTTCTGTTGGGCAGTTCCCATTCCCACAGATCCAGGCACAGGAGAGGTAAAGAAGATGCTAAGACCCCTCCCAGCCCACCTGGTTCTGACACACTCACTCTGCACCCAGATCGGCAGTGGGAGGCTGCGTTTGCTGACGCTGTGGCTCACTGTCTTAGCACACCTGGCTCTGCCACAGTCACTCTGCTCCTGAATCAGCCGTGGGAGGCTGCGTTTCCTGATGCTGTGGCCCACTGTTTTAGCACCACACCCATACAATCCTGAGTTTTCTTTCCAGATGGCTGGGATCTGGAGCTCTGAGGACTCATTCCAGTCTGATAGGAAGACTCTGTTGTCTCTGAAGAAGATGAAATGAAGAGAAGTGTCCCGTCGCTCTGGGAGAAGATGTGTTTCACAACTCAGGTTTACAGAGGTCCCCTCTATAGGTCGAGTGGCAGTGGCTTTCAGTTTTGGATGTGGAAATAGTTCTAGAGAGGAAAAAGTAAGTCAGGTTCTTAGCACGAGAGTATATAGCGCCCTGAAGAGAAACAGGCTTGGACTCTCAGTTCCAGGAAACTTCAGATACACAGCAGGATACACTTCATCAAGCTCTCTATCACTTTCTTTCTCTCTAAGTTTATTCCAGTTCAATTATTCAGCTTTCTCTGCCTCTTAGAGGAGTTAGGTCTCTGGTGTTTCCAAAGTTCCAATATTAACTTATAAGTTCCCTAATGACATTCCTAAATCCCCATTCTGACATTACTAAATGAATCTATATAAAATGAAGAGTTTACCTTGAATTTTAATAACTTTTACATTTGATTTAAATATATCATCTTTGTCGCCAGACTCAGTACATTGATAATTGCCATTGTTTACTGAACTTGTTCTTGGGATAAAAAGATCAAAGCTTTTATTAGAACTATGGAGTATGTTTCCATTCCAACAATACTTCATAGCAGTCAGTTTCTCTTTTCTTGCTCTCCGGCATCTCAGAACCAATGTATCGCCTTCAAATACAGAATGAGGAGACTGAAGGATGAGGGGGCCTGGAAACAACACACAGAAAATTTCATTCAGAAACTGGGCTTAGTAGTGTATGTTTGTTTACCCAGCACTATGGAGGCTGAGGCAGAAGGATCACAAGTCTGAGTCTAGCTTGGGCTACATAGTGAATTCAAAGCTGGCCTGGAGTACATAGGAAGACCTTTTCTCAGAAAACCAAAACATGCAAAAAAATTCATCATTCAGTGAATTACCTCCTTCCTCTGTGTCTCTTGTTTTACAAAGTTGTTTTCATTTTTGCTTTTGTGATATGTGGTCTTCTGGCCCCTTCCAGGTCAGTGTGGCATGCTTCAGACACAATTTCAGATAAGCCCTAAGCATCTTTGCTCAGTCATTTAAGGACAGATTCCAAATATAAAGATTCAAATACACAGAAGAAAAACCAAAGAAGAGGTGATAAAAAATTTCCTGACATTAAAGAATATGTAAAAATCAACATCAATCTTCTCATCAAATCTCAGAGCTAGAACATCAAAGAAATAGTATTTGAAGGAATGTACAAGGAACTATTACAGTGTAGTGGCATGTGCTATGCAGCAGGATTCCTGTCATACTGTCAGAGAAATAAGTGTAGGTCCAAGGGCAGTGAATGTGGTACTTTATGGAAAGTCTCATGCTGTTCAGATTGGAATTTGAGTCTAGCTCTATTCTTTCTCTCTTAGAGGACTGTGGTGAGTTGCTCCTCCTATAGAGCCATGTCCGTGGAAGTGATCCAAACCATTACGTACAAACTAGGGTAAAAACTGCACAAAGAGATATGGGAGTAGCCCCAATCAGAAAGAGCCAGAATGAAGAAGAGATGCAAACAGGACGTGGGGATGAAAGACCTGAGGTTATAGGTTTCCCAGCACCTTTTTCATGGCACTTTTTGCTTCCTGGTTTGTGCTCAGTATATTCACATGTGTGTATTTTCTCCCTTAGGAGGCTGAGTAGTCCTACAAGGCAGGATCCCAGAAAACTCTTATATTCCCTAAAACTAACTAATTTCTTTGACTATGGAAGGGTTGAAGAATGTTTGTTGATTAATGTTAAATATTTAAGCACAATTTTCAAGTGAAAAATCCTTGTAGACAATGAGGAAGAATGTGAAACTAGAAGTCAGTGAGGTCGAGGCTTAGAGAAGAATGAAGGACTCCAGTTCTTAGAACCTAAGGAGAGCTAAAATGAACTGAAACAATTCTTAAAGATTTAATGCATTTATTCTCTTTCTCACCTGTAGAAAAGTTCAACAACACAGGGTCACTCAGAAGTGAGTTTTCAGCCTGGCATCTATACTTTCCAGTTGCATGAACCTGTAGGACGTTTTCTGAAGTCTCTGCCAATAGTACCTTTTCCCCATTCTCATTGTACCATTTTGTTTTCTCTGTTGCATTGAAGTGAAATCCATTGCAAGTCAAATTCACTGTTGCTCCTTGGAAAACCGGGGTCCATGGTGGTTGAAGGGAGATCACAGGTTTGGGTACAGTTGCTGAAGAAGTGAGAGAAATGGGTCTGAGGCAGAGGTGGCTATGGTCTGAGCTGCAGAGGTTTTGGTGAAATAGTTGGGAGGACTTGACTCTAGACAAGCTCCAAGGTTCCAGAGAGACCAACTATTTACTCAGATTACAGGTGCTCCAGCTGAGCTCAACTTACCACCAGTGCAATGGCTGCACAGGAGGAAAATGGCCTTTTAGGGCACAATCCTAGCAGGGTCCAGTCATGATTGAGCAATAATGGAAGGTTCAAAACCCTTCAACCTGTTCCTATGGATTAGGTCCTCAGGTACGGAACTGAGAATTGCATTTTTCCCAACCCCCACTCCCCACCAGGGCTCTTTGTGTTACAGATACTTCTCTAACACAATTGTTTGTGTGAAGGGTACCAGAATATGTCATTCGAAAATATGTTTCTTGGGGCTGGGGATTTAGCTCAGCGGCAAAGCCCCTGTCTGGCAAGTGCAAGGTCGTGAGTTCGGTTCCTGGTACCGGAGAAAAACCAAAAAAAAAAAAAAAAGAAAAGAAAATATGTTTCTTTCACATATAGATTATTTTGAACTAAAAGCCATTGAGAATCAACTGAAGTAAGGAATGCTCTAAAAATAAAGAAAAGGGTTTCCTTTCCTAAAGGACATCACTTTTCATAAAGGTAGCTCACTTTCCTAAACCTTTTCAAAGGACAAGATTTTGACTTAAGTCTGCCAACAAACCTTACTAAGAAACACTTGTTTAACACACTTTTCCTGGTCACCTTTGTATATAATAGTACAATAAAAACATTTTTATTGCACACAGTGGGACAAGGAGAACATCTCTCATATTCTGGACCCCAGTTGTATGCTAGATAATAATCATCATTTCAAGAGGCCAAAACACAGACTTTTCCAGGGACTTAGGTACACTCAGTTCTTTCTTGCTCTTCACAACAAAACATTGCCAACAGCCAAACTTAAATCCATTAACCCCTACTCTGAATAGTATCCCCTCTAAATTCTGGTAGGCTCCCTCTTCTGACTGTCCTACTGTGTCTCATGGGGTATAATTCAATAAATTTCCCTCTTCATTTATTCTACTACTGGCTCAATATCAATGAGAAACAGGCATGGGAAAATTGAGCAGGCTGTTTTCTGAAAGAAGAAATATGTCTACATGCTTACGAAGAGAAAACTTCAACGACAAAATATTGAACTCAACTGAAATTGGACCCTATGCTATTTGACACATGGATGGCCAGAAGCAGAAGAATATGGGGTAAACACAAATTAAAGAGAGGCTTAATTTTCCCTGTGGAAAATGAGGGAAGAGAATTATCTCCTTTACCCTTTTCTTTCAGAATTTCTTTCTCCACCCTTGTCAAAGGCTTATACATCTTTATAATGGCTAAGTAACCTGTGTGCGGCCAGTCTCACAGTGTAATTTCTTGAAATATAAACATCTAGGGAGAGTGTTCTCTGTCTCAGTTCCTGTTTGAGTCTAAGAACCTAACTTTGCTCCAATATGCAAAACTACCTGTTGTTACAAAAATGTGTAAAGTTTGTTTTTCTTCCACATAAAAGATAACTAGCTGACACAGCAGTCTCTGCAGTTCATGATAAAGTTAAGATGAACTATATGTAACAAAATGTGCTGTCTTAGTTATTTTTCTCTTTTGCTGAGATAAAATGCCTGACACCCAAAGTAAAAGGAGGAAAGGTTTATTTAGCTCAGTTTGTAAAGGTTTTGGTTCATAGTTAACTGGCTCCAAGGCAAGGTGGCATGGAAAGGGGGTACTGGAGAGGAAAAACAGTCCAAGGCAGGGTAGGCAGGAGGCAATGAGCAGGAAGCAGCAGTGAAACTGCTTTCCCTTTTATCTCATTCAGGCTACAAGCCTCTTGTGTGGTACTCACCACACCAAGTGTGGCTTCTTCTCTTCAGAAAATCCATTCAGCCTCAATGAGAACTATGCTAGTTTCAATCAGTGGACTAATTTAGTACCATACACCCTTTATCCCAGTATCAAACACCCTAGATGTTGCCAGCTCCAAAAACGCTCACCCATGAGCACACGAGGCTTTGTGGGGGGACATCTAGATACAAGCCATAACAGATGCTGTCAGGTCCTTTTGCTTGTGGACTATTGTTTATCTAGAAAACACAGATGTATGGGTTGCATCTGCTTGGTTAAATAAAAGAGTAGGATTTTGTCTTCTCCTTGCAATCTCTTAGTGGACTGCCTGCATTGCATTTGAGTATAACGGTTGTCCAATAATAAAAGTGGTTTGATTCTGTTACCTTTGTGGAGAAGATTTCTGGGTTGGGAGATTTTTTATTTTCAATTTTATTCCCACAACAAGAAACTCTTACTGAGATTCTTTTAAAATCTGAGTATTTATTTACTGAGTTTTGTTGCTTTCAAACTGTGAGAGCTAACAACAAAAGTACTTGTGACACAAATTTGTCACTATTACAACCTCCTGACCAGTCAAAAATCATTATATGGACCTGGGACAAAGAAAATATAGACTGTTAGCCTGTTACTTATCAAAACCTTGATTTGTGTTTTCTCCCTAGGCATTCAGTGATTTAAAAGTGATTTTTGCTAAAACTCTTAATTCTTCACCTGGGTCTAAATGCTAAATAGATCACTAAAAGTAGAACAACATTTGTCTTTCATTTTTTGTCATTTATTACTGAATATGTCTGCTTCAAATCTCTTCTCAGCTCTGCATGTGGATGTGCTGATCATTTAAAGAGTGTTTGTCAGGGGCTGGGGATTTAGCTCAGCGGCAAAAGTGCCTGCCTGGCAAGCGCAAGGTCGTGAGTTCAGTTCCTGGTACCGGAGAAAAACCAAAAAAAAAAAAAGAGTGTTTGTCTAAATTTTGGCAAAGCAAGATTGATTAGCCCTGAATTTACATGACCTTGTCCTCAAGCCTGAGGACAACAAGGTAAGGGATTCATTCAATTATGCCCAGTATTCTCTAGCCATTGTCCTAAAACTGTAATCACCTAGAGTCTGGAAAAAGCAGAATCACATGTAACTGCAACCACCACAAAACAGAGATAATTAGTTCATGGAAGTGGAACTACCCTTTCACCATGAAGATTTCAGGTATGAAACAGGCCTGAGATCATGATTAACTGGGTTCCAGTCCACCAGCACATCATTCTAAACTGGCTTCCTGTCTTTGTGGGTGGGCCTGTCTAATCCTTTTCATTAGAGTGTACCCCGTCCTGCTACTTAAAGTGGGGCCATTTTTATTTTCCTTACTCTCTTTGTTAAGGGCAATGCTGACCTTTAACAGCTCCCCAAACCAGAGCCTTTACTGTTTGTTTCTTACTTTCTAAATTATGCATGTATGTATATATATATATGTATGTATTTAGTCACTTTTGAGACAGGGTCTCACTCTGTAGCTCAGGCTGGCCTTGAACTTGTGGTGATCCTCCTGCCTCAGGCTCCCAAGTGCTGGGATTCTTATTTTCTAACTAAAGCTTTTTCCTGTAAATTTGTGCTTTAATTTTCATTTTCATCATTACTAAAAGCAAGGACTCACACAAGGCTAGCTGGTGACAGTCCTGCCCAGTGTAATTCTTCAATCTGCCTGCTCAAAGATCAGTGGTTTGGTAGGCATACAATGAAAATGTATTGCTATTTCATATCCTGCACAAGGTGCAGTATTTTAGGAAGCTGGTAAACATTATATGGAACTGCTGAGGACCAGCTTGATGTGGTGCAGAGAAGGCAGTGATTGATGTTATAAACTGACATACAAATAAACTGAGTCAAGAGTCTGTCCTAAGCCTAAGTGACTTGTGGCAAGCTTGTGGCTGGCATGGCAATGAAATTAATCCCTGGGCCAAAGGCCAGGACCAAAACCACCAAACAGTCTAGAAAGTCCTGGTGCCTCAAAACAAGGGAAACACTGCAACTGAGGACTTTGACTCAGCTAAATTCTTTCCAGCTAAGTAGTCTCAGTTAAAAAATGATCAGGTTCCTAGTTAACCAGGATCTGCTCCTGTGTGCTTTTCCAAAAATGTTTTGTTTTTTGAATCCTTAGGACCTTGCCTGCATCAGCTCTTCACCCCCAACACTTCCTGTAGCCCACTGGTATACCCCTAAATCAAGTTGTGCACTTGATAAAGGCCAGGAACACCACGTCTCATGTTCTTAGTCCTCCTGTGACTTTGACTATCACGGTTCCCCTTGTAGCTAAAATATATATTTTGCCTGTGTTTTATTCCTTTGTTGTATCCCTGAGCTGGAGATCAGTGCTCCGTGGCCAGGTCCCCAATAGGAACCACTGCTTCAGTGGCTTACAACACCACTAAGGAGTGTGATAGAGCAAGATCTTCTAACAGTTGAAAAGGATGAATCAATAACAAGGAAAACACCAGCCTCCTGAAAGTTGGCCCCAGTGCCCCTCTTTGTTTTATGAAAGCAAGGCACTGACATTCCTGCCATATGATCCACATCTAGGTAAAAATGTCAGATGGATAAAAGTAAGCATGCAGTAGGGAATGAGAGCTCTGAGGACAATTTTAGCTTTAATATTACAAGGAGAGAAGCAGTTGTGTAATTCTTTGACTGCTTCACTTTCCTGCTCTACCTGTCCCCGACTCCTTCCTTCCTTGGACACAGTCATGCTGCCTGCAGCTGTAGCTGCTGCCACATTTTTAAAAAATCATATGAGAGATAGACTGTTCTACAAATTGCCTATGGTAATTTAGCTTCTGTGAAGTAGAAGGTAAAACATATTCTATTGTGTCATTTAATTTTTCAAAAATAAAATCTTAATTTGGGGTGTGCTATTTACTATAAAATTTTAAGTACACTTTACATTGATTTTCTTCTTGGTAGCTTTTATATTCACATAAGGAGGACTGTCTACATGTAAGAGTTTATTGCCTTTTTAAAAGCTTGAAATCAATTGCCTTTTTAAAGCTTGAAACTTTAAATATTTTTACATTGTTCTGGAAGAACTGCCCAAATAGGTCTTTTAATTATATCCAAATGTACAGATGTCATTCTTTTGCCTTACAAAGGATATAATTGCTTTTCTCCATTTGGGGACAAAACCTGTAAAAGTCAGAATGAACATTTTAGATGAAGGCAAGTGTTCCATTTGGTAATGTGCAGCACTGGTGAGTTTCTGCAGACTTAAAAAAAAATCTCTTAAAGATTTGGACAGGGTGTGTATGTCCTCAGTAGGAGTGGTTTCGTTCCTCCTAAAGAGAATGGAAATACCCACCGGGTCGATTTGGGGAAGGGAGTGTTGGGTGGCCTCTCCTCTCCTGGAGAGAAGAGCTTCCTTCTGCTGGAGGATGCAGTGAGCGTCCTCTTTCATCCAAGTGAGCTGCCCCTCCCTCTGATGTGCAGGTGGCTTTATGATATGGAGGAGACAGTCTTTGTCAGGGCCTTTGTGAGGTTTGGCACCGTGTTCATGGGCTCTGAGACTGACCGCATGCAGTAGCTGAAGTAAGACTGTTTCATTTCCTCACACTAGAAACGTAAGTAGAGTCTTGCCAAGTTATGATCCTGTCTCAGACAGGCAGCAGAATATGGTAAATGGTGTGTGACCAGGACATTGAGGCTAGAATAGCACACCCGAGCACTGTGGGGAACACTGCATCCAGCAGGATGACAGACAGCAGCTCCCATGAAGTGCTCAATGGATTTGAAGAAAACCCGTAGGTGTTGCCAAGCATCTGAAAAACAGCTCCCAATCAAGGGCTGGGCTTTCTGCTAGTAACAGAAATAAGTGTCTACAGAGAACGCTGACTTTTGGGGCAAACTGGTTACACACAGTTGGGGGCAAGGTTATTGAAGCCCCAGTCTCTCCCTTTGAAGCAATGGCTTTGTTCTATCTTTTCCTCTCGGGATGCTATGCATTCAATCAACTTGACTAGGACCCCATATGAAGTGAGTAGCACATTTTTCTCCTGTGAACTCTGTGACACATATCCTAGCCTTCTGTGTGTCCAGTGCAAAGGCAGGTTTGGTCTGAGAGAGCAGCGCCCAGATAACCTAACGCTTGGGGTCAGAGGCACCAGAACAGCTTTCACCTGTCTGCAACCCTCAGGAAAAGGAGGAAAGGGAAAAGAGGCCTGTTCTTCTAAGTAATTGGGACAGAGACTAGTTATGCAGACATCTAGGGATGTAAAAGGGAAAATAAAAGGAGACTTACCAAACTGTCCACTGACAGAAGCTGCAAGAGAGTCAAGAAAGAAGTGTCAGGACATGTTTTCCAAGGAGTCCCCAGTTATTGCCCAGAGAGGCTGCACGTCCTTATCCTACTTCCAACCAGCCCACCCAGAGAAGCTAATCACTCAGGCTGTGGACTCAGCTTTGCTTGAATTTTAGTTGTGTGAGTCCAGACAAACCACATAAACTCCCAAATCTCATTTCCCCATTTGAAAACAGAGCAATGTTACAGTGTTATTGCAATGAGTTAAATTTGTAACTCCTCCATTACTCACTGCTATGATTTTTAAAAATATCCAGCTTGTGCTGACACTTGACTCTATTATGTCCTTGCCTGGAGTTTCCTTCTGTTCCTTCAGTACCCATTAAAGTCAAGTCACACCCCTGCATCGAGGCTCAAGAGAAGTCAAACCACCTCTTGAAGCCTTCTCAGATGCCTCTTTCGTGTGAAGCCATCTTTCTTTCCTCTTGAGTCAGCACACTGACCATCATAGTTTACTGAAACTCATCATAATTGAATGTACAGTTAGGTGTGGTGATCAAAAGCATAGTTTCCAAAGTCAAGTTAGGAGTTTAAATTCTGACACCACTACTGCACTAGAAGCATAAATCTTAGTCACAAAACCAAAGTTACTGTGCCTTAATCTCATTTGTAGACTGCGGGATTATAACAGTTCCAGTTCTCAACTGTCAGAGAATTGGACAAATTAATACATGTGGAACAGTGTCCCAGAACAGAACTATGTCTGGGACATAGTCAAAGTCAGCAAGAATTAATCATTATCGTTGCCTGGCTGATTATTATCATCCTATTGTTATCCTATGACCCACTATATACTATTATTCCTATATTGCTAAGTCAGATGTTATTGCATCTCTACTTTGATGTTCTAATTAGAATGTCAGTCCTTGAGGACACAGGCTCCAGCTTCCAGGTTTCTAGTCCTTTTGGCGTGCCTGGCACTGTGCTATATTGACTATATCCATACATGCGCAGTTTACTAAGGTCCCATAATATGTCAGTCATGCTAATAACTCTTCCGGTAACTATTTTCTGAGGATCTAAAGCGGAACAAAATAAATGCACTTAACAAATATTGAATGTACAAAACACATTTTTTAAATTCTCCAACTTGAGGTAATAGGAAATTAGTGATACATTTGCACAAATATTGATAAATAATAGACAAACTTGGAGAAAAGTTCAAGGGAAGCCATTTTATTTCTTCTCTTTCCATGCCCTTTGCAAACCAGGACAAGTTTGCTTCTAGGATACAGGAAAGGAAATTGTTATTTGCAGCAGAAAATCATTTCTGTTTCACCTCACAACTAAGCTATGATCCTTCACAAAAGGTCCCAGTTTATCTATTTTTCCATAGGTCTTTATAAGTTATGATTTAAGAAAGCAATTGAATATAACTGTAATTTTTATTATTTGCATTTACGTGAAAAAATAGCCCACTCTGGGGGAGGAGGAATTTTCCATAGGCGAGTAAAAGAAAAAGTGGATGCAGAATGCACCTTTGGAAATCAATTATTATTCCCCACACACACACTGTTAAATCAATATCTTTCCCTTTGTTCATTTTCTGCTGTTTTGAAATGGAAATAAAATCCATGGTTTCAGCAGCCAGAGCAAAGGCCTTTTGCTTCTGGTGAGGCTCAGGCCAGGCTCCTGTCCATCACTTACCAAGGACCAGCAGGGATGCCCACAGCAGCATGGAGTCCTGCCCCAGTGGCCAGAGGAAGAATGGTTCTCAGGAGACAGGACAGATCAGCCCAGACAGCCAGAGCAGCTTGTGTCTACACTGCATGCACATGGCAGGGAGTTCAGTAAAGTGCAACTCTGAGCACGGGTGTTTGCATAATGAAGTGAAAAGGGAAGTAGAAAAATGTGTCTCAAAACCCCAAAGAGGCCAGGCATGGTGTTGTATGTCTGTAATCCTAACATTCTGGGAGGCTGAGACAGGAGGGTCACAAGTGTAAGCCCAGTATGGGCAAATTAGTGACTTGGCAAGAACTTTTCCTGAGAAAACAAATAAATCAATCGATAAGTGAAGAACATGCTACCCACTGTAACAGAATCCAGAGGATAAATATCAATTTTTTTTTTTGGTTTTTCTCCAGTACCGGGAACTGAACTCACGACCTTGCGCTTGCCAGGCAAGCGCTTTTGCCGCTGAGCTAAATCCCCGGCCCCAAAAAATCAATATTTATCAGAATGATTTAAGTGCTGCTCTGACATCTTGGTGTGAAGAGCTTCCCTTGGCTCCAGTCTCTGTCTTCCGAAGAAATCACAAATTAATGCTCTCTGTTACCAGATACTAGTAGGATTGCAATCCTGTAATCACGTTGAGATTCCCACAGTGCAAGTGTATATCTGAAACACCCAAAGATGGAGACTTGCCATTCGGGCTGAAGCACCCTCCTCTGATCTCTGCTTCCTCAGCCGCAACCCATTAGCTGGCCGTCTAGACATTTGAGGAAACCTCTCAGCCACAGGAGGGCTCACATCTTGACATATCTGAGCATATCCTGACTCATCTGTCCCAGGGGAAGACACGGCCTTTGATCTGGGTAGAAGATGAACAGAGGTAGACGTCACGGCCTCTCATGCTCTTCTTGTGTAATGGACCATGAATTTTTACTGAAGGTCCTAGAATGTAAAACTCACTGTAGGCATGTCTTGGCAAATATATATATTGATTATATAACTGCGTTTTACGTATGGAGCTAGGTGCTCAGAGCATAGTGGGAATCAAGACTCAACAAAATTTTCATATTATTTGGGGAGGCACATTAATAGGGAATTACACAGAGTGAAAAATACTCTGATAGCACAATAGAGGGAGACTGGGTCATAGGCAGGGAGTGAGGAGAGGCTCCCTACTAGAAGTTACATCTGTGTTGAAAAGCTATTATTGTAGAACTGGGAAGTTAGTATAGAGTTAGCAGAAGGCAGTCACCATCCTTATTATCATCACCTCTGATACCTGTCAATTAAGGATCCTTGAGCTTCCAGTGAGGGAATGGTAATAGACACAGGATATCTATAAATAAAAACATGAATAAAATACATCTCCTTCCAACATTTAATAAAGTCACTAGGGTAAGAACCACAAGGGGCACAGGCACAGGTCACTTGTAGGAACATAACCACTGTCAAGGTGGTGCTCAGGTCCTTTGTCTCCTTGTCCTATGACTGCAGTTGCCTTTCTTTCTTCCATTTGGGGTTAAGGTATAAAACGGCAGTCAAGAACCTGAACAGTAGAATCCCCCATATCTGAATCTGACTCTACCACTTGCTAGGTGCATGACTTTAGTCAAGTATTTAGCTTCAGTTTCACACTTGTGATAAAGGAATAAAGGTAATATACCTGCTCAAAAGAGTTTTGATATTAATGTATATATAAATGCAAAATGATGTAAATTTCTTGGCCTAATGCCTAGAATAATGTGGATATTCAATGAGTAAAAACTATGATTAATTATTTTATGATTCTAGGAACTATAGCAATAATAAATCAAAAGAGAGTTTATAATTGATACTATATTCTACCAATGTTTTTGTATCTCTTATGACAGTGGAACGGCGTATTTTACATAAGTTTAGAGCTCAGATATATATAATGATGATTAAGGATTGAGAAGTAGAAGTATCATTGTCCAATTTCTTTTTCCTAGTATCAGTTTTGTTGAATGAAAGCACAAATTCCACTTGGCAAAACAAAGTTTTACATTCATGATATTGTAGACATCGTCCAAACATAAGAAGTCATATTCACTGGGGATAGAGTTCAGCAGCATGGTGCATACCTAGTAAGCACAAGCTCCTGAGTTTGATTCCTGGTACCCAAAACAAAACCAAAGCAAAAAGTCATGTTTGTTACACTTATTATGTAATAGTTTAAGGGAAATACTATTTTTGTGTCTCTGTTGAAATTATTGGTGTAAATGTGTGTTACTGGTGTGAAAAGTGTGGTTTTCAATTTGAAACATCAGGCATGAATGATATGTGCCATGATTAATTAAGAAGTTGCTTGATTTATCAGGAATAAATTTTAGATTTTAGATATGTTAATGAAGAACAAAGTAGTTGTTTTCAATGAAAATGTAAGAAATAAAAGATTCTGAACTTTTCTCACTTGTATATATTAAGCATTTAAAATTATACAATTAAAATTTTCATTTTGGAATAATTCTAGGTTTACAGAAAATTGAAAGACTCTTCAGAGTTCCTGTGTACTCCTCACCCAGTTTTGATTTCTCTTACTATTGCCCTCTCACACCATAGTGCTACATTTGTCAAAATTAGAAATCAAAATTGGTACATAGGGATTAAATTAATTCCCACTTTATTCACTTTTCATCAGCATTTCTATTAATATTCTCTTCTCTTCAGCATCCCACTCAAGGTACCACATTACATTTAGTTATCGCTCAGTCTGTTCTGGTGTGTAGTAGCTTCTGGGACATTTCTTGTTTTTTTAGGACCTTAACAGTTTTGAAGCGCACTGATCAGGTAACTTGGAATGTCTTCCAATGTGGGTTTGTCTAAGCTTTACTCATATTTAAAATATAGGTTTTCTGAAAGAATACCACACAGGAGGAGTATCTTCATCACATGATACCAATGTGATTACTGGTGGTAATACTAATCTTGATCGCTTGCTTAAGTTAGCATTTACCTGGTTTCTTCAATGTAAACTTACTGTCTGTCCCTTTTTATACTCTTTTTGTTTGGAACCAAGTCACTAACTCCTCTCTCTCTCT